CAGTAACAAAACATTTATGCTAAAATGATCTTAAACAATTTATAGATGGCATAAAATATTAACTTTCTGGCCTCTAAGACACATTTTGCTACCTACAAGGGCCATATATAATATTTTCTGGAATTACACCATGCGTTTTAGAAAGGCACCTAAGGTTTTAACCGCGGTCTGTCTATGGTGGTTGGTAGTTGGCTGTTGGTGGTTGGCTGGTGATAGGCGTCTGTAACAAATTCTTACAATTTCTAATAACTTAACAAGTACTTAAATTTTCTTCAAAATCATCTGCATGTTTGCAAAAGTTCAAATCTGACTTTATATTTAAGATTTGACCTTCAATGACCTTTTCAAGGTCAAAATATCTTTTTCAACTTGCTTAAAATTGACCTTTTTTCAAAATCATCTACAAGTTATCAGAAGTTCAAATCTGACTTTAGATTTGAGATTTGACCTTCTATGACCTTCTCAAGGTCAAAAAGGTCTTTTTTCAACTTGCTTCAAATTGACCGATTCTTTTTTCAAAATCATCTACAAGTTCTCAACAGTTCAAATCCGACTATAGATTATTTCTAAAAGAATGCATTCTATTCCAAATTCTATAATTTGACTTTCAGAAGCTTCTTGGCTCTTGAAATAAGCTTGAATTCACCAAAACACATATCGAGCCCTCTCTTTAGAATGAAATATGAATTAAGATGCCAAAAACAAGTGAAGATATTGAAGAGGGAATCCCTTAAGTTGTCTCATAATTCAATATTTACAACCCTAATGGCCAATTAAAAAAGATACAGCCGTGCTTAATGGTTGTCTGTGAAGTCATGCAAACAAGTTTGAATCAGAAGAAAAATGTCTTCAATGCATGAAGTCATAGCGATTATCTTAGGAAATCTTAGATGTGTATGAATATAATGAAGTAGCAAGGTATAAAGTAAACTGTTGTGTAGTCCATAGAAATACTAAAAAATAAACAGGTTTTTGAAAGAAAATGTGTAAAATAATCATAACTGGAAAGAGATTTGAGAGAAGGGAGATGTAACACTACAAGCCATTGCTATAAATATTGCAGTTGAACTATTGTATGGTAAAAGAATTGGAAATAGCTCTGTTAATGTATATTCATGATGACAAATTGTAAGCTCAGCAATGCCTTTGTATTCAAGCTAGCTCTGTCAAACATCATCTAATCCAATCTAATAGAACCTGCGCTTATTGTTTATTTTGGGCCAATTTATCAAAAATGGGCCTCAATTTTTTAAAACTTGGGCCCTATTTTTAGGTTTTAGGGGCCCAATGTTTTTTTCCACGCAAGGGCAGACATGTTTTCCATACTCAAAATTTGGCCCCCCTTGTTAATTGCTGGATCCGCCACTGACATGTACCAATATATTACAAAATTGTAGACTTTGACCAGAAGAAAGAAAGAAACAAAGAGAAAAGCAAATTAATAAACTGATGTTTTTCTGAACATTTACATTATTCTTAATGATTCCACTCTTTTGCATTTTAAAATATAACCACTTTCAACATGAAAAAGTTGGTTGTTACTAGAAACATTAACAAATCCTCCACTTTGTTCAATACAAATTTTGAGCTCATCTGATTGGTTAATTGTTTGATGAAAGACAGATCAGAGCACATGGACATGTCCGATACATCTTACCCTTTGTAAGAGCTGGAGTAATTTCATATGTACTCTTAAAATTAGCTGCGATTCCAATCAGGATGAACAGTAAGACAAACATGGTAAAGCATATTTTGGATGTAAGTTTGCTTACATTAATTTGATATTCATGTGAAGCCATGTAAACTTCATTTGAGATTATTAAGATGTTATCAATCCTATATCTTTGGAGTCTTCAAGAAATGTCAGAGGCTGTAGTATTATCAGGGGGGGGGGGGCAGAATTGAGATATATCAGAAGGATCAGAACATGATTTTGAATATGGCTTAGCAAGCAATCTTTCATTGCGTTGATGTAGTTGCTGTGAGCTATAACAAATACAATGAATCCTTATTAGTAGATAACCCAGAATACCCTCTGAGTATTACAGACAATTTTATTATTTATCTCAAATGTACATTTTATGGTCTTTTGGGCAATTTTGAATGTGGAGAGAATCAAAGCAAATCTTATTGGCAGAAGATGTAGCGCAATGATATTCCAACATCTTCTGATTGGTTATTGGTGCAAGATCAATGAATTATCTCATGATTAAAGAGTGGAGAAGGCATTACTTTTACTTTACTTAAGAGTAATAAAAGAGAGGTCAAGTATGGAATAGTCTTATAGACAATCTGCAAGGTCTTTGACTGATGCTAGCTTTAGTAGACTCCAAAGAACATTTCAGAGAAGAATTGATGTTATTTGAAGGAAATTGGCATATTTGACTTTCACAGTTATTGGAAAACCAAATCTTGATATATCAATATGGGAAATTGGAAGAGATAAAGGACTTATCAGAGACAATATTAAATGTTATAGGAATCTAGTAACAAATATATGGAGTAACAATTTAATCTAGAGAATTCGTAAATTATGAGAAGCAATAGCACCAGGAGTCTAATAATGTTTAAAACAGTACAACTCTATTGGGAGCAATGAATTCATAGTCAAAACCAGGCGTTCATTACAACTCCCAGCTGTGTAGCTTTGCGTTGAATGATTCAATAATTAGCTAAGTATTTATTAGTAGAATACATTGTAGAAGAAGATGAAGTGGCAAGGAATTTTGTGAATCTGTGTGCTATATCTAACTGAAATTTGAAAGAACTGAAATTTATACACAGCTTCTAAATAGGAATGAGGGAGGATCCTCATAATAGAATCAATTTGATATGCCATCATGACCCCTGGCATCCTGTTATCTGCATAATGACAAGAAAATGTTCCAGGCTGATTTGTCAAAATGTAAAATTCAGGACAAATTGTGGGATTTGCGATAAATAAATTGTACAGGAACAAATGAGATACTTTAATTTGTCAACAATTGAAGCATAGAAGACACTGTTTAATTTCATAGCAAAGTATTTTAATAAGTAGGATCAGACGGCCATTTTAAACATGGAACAAATGAGATACTTTAATTTGTCAACAATTGAAACAAAGAAGACAAGTGTTTAATGTTTTTGGAAAGTGTTTAAATTAGTAGGATCAGACGGCCATTTTAAACATGGAACAATATAATTGCGTAAAATTACAAATGAACTTCTGATGAATACAGCATAACAATTGCACGAACTGGATTACATTCGGAAGAAAGTATTATTTGTCAGAAGTGGCAATAATTAAGATGGATATCTTCAAATTATTCAGGAAGAAGAAATCAAAAAATAAGTATTTCTATTTTTAATTTGGTCAGTGATTAAAAACCTATTCCAATAAATGATAGACTTTGCCTAACTTGTAAATCTGTAGAAGATGAAAAACATTTTTTTATTAATTGTAAAAAACATGATGCACAAAGGAGTGTCCTTCTAGAAAAAATGAAAGAAATATTTGGACCCAATTTTCTAATCAATGAAACAAATTTTTAAAATGCTATTGTCTTCGCAAAATATTACTGTTCAAAGGCATATTGGCAAATATGTTTACCATTCTTTCCAAAATTTAGAGTAGACTACAATTACTGTGCTACACTGCTAATATCTTCTTTTTATCTTTTATGCATCAAGTTTTATAGAAAGCCTGTAGCCTCATACTAATGATTATATGTTACATGTATAAAGTTTAGTTATAAATGTAGTCTAGCATTTAGTTAATAGTGTAGTATTGTCTTGTGTCAAGACAGCCTAGTTTGTACATAGACTAATGTGTCATGTTTTGATACAAAATGTCAAAAAAAGAAATATATATAAACAATATAATGGGATGATACTTTATGTAATGCTTGTTTACCACAACAAGAACTCTATACAGCAAAATTTTACAATGGTACAATCTGCAGCTGTATATATTTGAAACATATGGAAAAACTTCATAGTGTTACATATTTTTTAGTATATTGTACTATTATTCATTTCTATTTTGTTTAGCAGAATTAAGGATATCTGTGTTGTTCTGTTTGCAAGACTTTTCTAGTACCACAATTAGAAACGTTATTTTGGTTCACATTTTCTACATATGTATGCTGTATTGACAGCTACAAGTGTTGTATTATTTTTACAGTTGGCCAGGCACTTTGAGTAATGGTATCAGCAATTGTATCAGGCTTCATGTTCAATGTGTTTGAGATTTTTGTATTAGATGTGTTTCGTAATTTTCCTCTTTTTGTGTTTTTGATGCCAAGCCATGTGAATCATACTAACAGATGGAAACCACACTTTGTAGTATCCCAGAACATTAAAAGATTTAAGACCTAATCTCTATATTTGAGAAACATTCTTTCATTTTATTCATTTCTTAATTTTCTACCCAAGAAGGGACATACTGTTATAGCCACCAAATTTGTGACCAGCGTTACGAGTTTAGCAGTAGGTGTTCAACATCTGTGTCAAAATTCTAACATTATAAAAACTTTGTTCTTTAGTTTTTATTATAGCTCCAGTCATGAGTTGGCCACATATAGGTTATTTACTGAGAGGGATTGAATATGGGTTTTATTCCGAGGAACAATATGATATTGACCGAAGGGTAATATGATATTGACCGAGGGAGTGCATCGACTGAGTGTCAACATCATATAGCCCAAGGTCAATATCATATTTTCTGAGAAATAACCTATTTATTCCATAATACACCCCTCTAAAATGCTACATTTGGATAATGCAGATAACTGGGAAAAAATAACTGGGAAACCGAAAAAAAGGTTAATATGCTCCAATACGATTTTTTCCCGGGGACAATACGATTTTTTCATGTAATACGATTCAATACGATTTTTTTATTCTTTCATATTTCCCTGAGAAAATAGTAGTATTATGGAATAAAAATGATTATCATCATCAAAACTTAGAATGATTAATATTACCTTTTTCAATAGTATCACTGTTTTGTGTATTTACAGAGTCAAGCCATGCGTATTGTACGGACAGTAGGCCAGGCATTTGAGGTATGTCACAAGATCAGCGCAGTGGAGCCAGCAAAACGTGAAGAAGACGCATCATCAGAAGAGAATGAGAGAAAAGTACAGCCAAATACAACAGGTAAGTCTCTGTTAAATGCCCTATGAATACTTAACTACTTTATTGTTTCACATGTGTGTCTCAGTATTAAAGGCCCTGTGAATAGTTTGAACTACTTCAAATATTAGTCTATTAAATTAAAATACCAGTACCGATGAAAAGTTTTAACTCTAAGCCTTATCAAATGTTGGCAAAAAAAGTTGAAAAGCCTCTCCTTAATGTTATTTATAGAAAAGCAGAATCTCTGATGATAAACATATCATATCTGAAAAGGCCAATAGTCACAATGTCGAATCTGTGCTAAAAAATTGAACATGGATCTGTATTAAAGAATTATTTTTTAAACTAGTTTATTTTAATTTCCAGACCAGCAGCCGTCTACACAGCAGCCAAATATTCCAGTGGACCCCAATGACAGTAGAGAAGACAACAATGAGACAGAGCGTGCATTTGAACAGGCAACAGCGCTCTTAGAATCTGTAGGTTCACCCCCTCAACAGCTCTTACAATCTGTGGGCTCACCCCCTCAGGTTGGTATTTTCTCTGCTCTTGGTGATTGGTTTAATAATAGTTACATTTCTGGTTATAAACTTACAAAACATGTGTTCATCTAATATAGATTGTAAAACCAAGTACTGTAGAACTTGTCTGAATGCAAATTGTACTAGAATAGTATTAAGTTGTCAAGTTGAAAAGTATGCACATTTAGAGGTCAAACGTGGGAGTTGTTAGGGTATCTAAAAATTGAACTGGATTCTTGTTTGTCATCTACAGTGTTCAGAAATCCATTTTTTCTGTACAGTTGCCACCCTTCCTATGATGATTGCCTTGGGAAAGACTCAAAACATTGGGTGTTCGGCTTGTGAATATTTACTATATAACTAATACCAATTATTTCACAAATTTTTTTACATTAGGTCATAACTAAACGGGTTGAGTCTACTCACTCCTTTATGAATTTCTTGTATTATGTATTAATACAATTTTGGGAATAATAACAAAAGCAAGGAGAAGGGAACAGATATTTTGTATAATATGAGGCAAGTATCTAAGTCTCATAGATTTTAATAACAGTTAATTACTAAAATAACTTAAAGCTAGGATAGGAGCTGTCTAGATCCTAAATGATAAATAATACATTTTTAGGTGATTCTTATAAAATCCTTCATTAACAATTTATCCTTGTGCAGTGATTAATCTCATAGATAAATCCCTCTTTTTCAATTAAGTCTTCTAATTCTTAGTTTATACATAACAACCCTTGCATGCCAAACAGGTAGAAATAATACTGCCAAGGTTAACCCTTATTGGACCATTGCTTGATTTATCTTCTCTTAGTGTCCATTCTATTTTGATCTTGCAATGTATTTAATAATACATGTACCACTCGACACTATTTCAGCATTTTTGTATTGGTACCAGTAGACAGTCAATTGACAATTATAACATGATAAGCATTATGGGAAGGCTATATTGAAATATAGTTTTATGAAAAGATTGATGCCATAAATCATGTTGGTCCAAAAGGGGTTAAATATTATAAAACTATGTAAATGATATCTTTCACCAAATTGATTAATTTAATATGGATTGTCAATAATCAAAAATTGTCATTCTGATACTCAGACCATCTCTGCCATGCACGAGAAGGAAACTGAGAGAAGGCTGTGATATCTCACGATGAAAAATTGAACTGAAAATTATATAAAATTTTGGCCACATTGGGAGTGCAAAACTAATAAATAAGATTGAATTGTACTCCATTGTTCTCGATTTATAATTCACAATGGCAAACCGTCTATTGGGTGAAACTGAAAACCATTATATTAACCAATACTAAGAAAATAACATGTGAATATCTGCCACTGCTGAACATTGATCGATAATTAATGTATGCTAATTCTGTATTTTGAACATGTACATGTCAATAAAACAAATGAATAATAAGTATTTACATAATTGTTATTTATATGGTTCATATTATCTATTCAGGTGGGAGCAACTATATCATCACCAATAGGTGGCACACCTCACATGTTGACGCAAAGTTATGTACCTGATGCACAGACACCATTGAGTACACATCATCAGATACAGTTGCTAAGACAACAACTTGAGCAGCAAACACAACAAACCCAGGTAAAAATAATCTGTTTTTATGTCACCTCCACAAATGATGACATATTGTTATAGTCTCCCACATTTTTGTGTATGGTGTTAAGCTGTCGGCAGGCAGCGTTCAACATCTGTAGGGAATGGCAGGTGGTGACATATTGCATGTTAACACCTTGTTACAAGAATGTATTGATTTATGAAAAAATGATTTTGCAAGGGTTCTTAAACCCCAATAAGATGAAAAGTGTTTTGAAAACAAAATAGTTTTTTGCATGAAACATTTTCCTAAATGGGTTCCAAATTGTAGTCCCCAATATATAACTCATCTCCACAAGTTATCTAAGAAAGAGTCATTTGGTGAAATAAATTGAATTGAATGAATGAATAAATGAATGAATTGTATTTCCAGGTTGCGATAGCACAGGTACAGCTATTGAAAGACCAGCTTTCTGCAGAATCAGCTGCCAGAATTGAGGCACAGGTACATTTTACTTTTTGTATACAGTAAAAGCTGTATTCTCTGAACACCACCAACCAAGAATGTTTTGATTGACAGCTGTTTACATTTCAAGGTTTTGTAACCTAGGGGAGTTTTAGTAAATATGACCGAGGATGCATGTTTTCCTAAATTTTGCAATTCTCGTGAAATATATCAAGAGTAAACCCATCTTTGTTTTATTTTAAATGGAATAGAATGTAATGAGAACTGACCATTAGGATATTTTGACCTCATGCTGATATCGCAAATTACTTATAAACATGATTCTTTTTACTGATTCTCTGCTCTGATCTTAGGCCCGTACACACCAGTTGTTGCTACACAACAGAGACCTTTTGGAACACATCAATCAACTGGTTGCTAGGATACAGGAACTGGAAATGAGACCAGCAGCCGACAGGAAGATGCCATCCATATTGGAAAAGTTTGAAGCACTACAGGCGATGACACCACAGGTAAAAGTATTTCTCTGTTTTAAAATTAGATGATTGTGAAGAAATCTGCCATTGTCAGCACTTACTATTCATAATATAATAGTGGCATATTTATTTTAGTCAGTGCCACATGATTTTTTCAAAAAACATAACATTGTGAAAATAATTCATGTTTTCTTTTGATTTAGTATTCTATTACCAACTCCTTTGCTATTCTGCTATGGAGGTTAGAATATTGATTTATTATGCATACTTTTTTTTACCTTTTTTAAACTGAAAAAATTGGGAAGATTAGAATTGAGAGTAAATCATTTTATTGAGTAGAATTAGTTGTATCTGTGGATCTTTTGATCCGTTTTGTCTTGTATTGTCAACCAGTGTGAAATTCTAATGTATTTTTCTTGTTGATTCCTGGTTTGGTGGATCCCAACACTCCTGAGTGTCAGCCTTTATTCCAATAACCTGAGTGTCATCCAGTCCATAATTCTATTGAATTATTCTTGCAAATTCCAGTGTTAACAGATCCAAATACCCCTGAGTGTCAACCAGTCCTTAATTCTTTTGCATTCTCCTTGCAGATTCCTGTGTCAACAGATCTAAATACCCCTGAGTGTCAACCAGTCCTTAATTGTATTGCATTCTCCTTCCAGATTCCTGTGTTAACAGATCCTAATACCCCTGAGTGTCAACCGGTCCTTAATTCTGTTGCCTTCTCTTTGTAAATTCCAGTTTTGACAAATCCCTCAGTGTCTTTAATTCTATTGCATTCTCCTTGCAGATTCCTGTGTCAACAGATCTAAATACCCCTGAGTGTCAACCAGTCCTTACTCTGTTGCATTCTCCTCGCAGATTTGAGTGTTAACAGATCCAAATACCCCCGAGTGTCAACCAGTCCTTAATTCTGTTGCATTCTCCTCGCAGATTCCTGTGTTAACCGATCCAAATACCCCTGAGTGTCAACTGGTCCTTAATTCTGTTGCATTCTTCTCGCAGATTCCTTTGTTAACAGATCCAAATACCCCTTAGTGTCAACCAGTCTATAATTCTATTGCATTCTCCTTGCAGATTCCTATTTTAACAGATCCAAATACCCCTGAGTGTCAACCAGTCTTTAATTCTATTGCATTCTCCTTGCAGATTCCAGTGTTAACAGATCCAAATACCCCTGAGTGTCAACCAGTCTATAATTCTATTGCATTCTCCTTGCAGATTCCTGTGTTAACAGATCCCAACAGCCCTGAGTGTCAACCAGTCTTTAATTCTATTGCATTCTCCTTGCAGATTCCAGTGTTGACAGATCCAAATACCCCTGAGTGTCAACCAGTCTTTAATTCTATTGCATACTCCTTGCAGATTCCTGTGTTAACAGATCCCAACAGCCCTGAGTGTCAAGCAGTCTTTAATTCTATTGCATTCCCCTTGCAGATTCCAGTGTTGACAGATCCAAATACCCCTGAGTGTCAACCAGTCCACATCCCAACCTTCAAGGAGATTGAGGCCCAACATTTACAGGCCAGCGCAGAAAATGCAACATTTGAGAACACAAACATCAAGTCAGACTACACAGAATCACCAGATAGCGGCCACAAGGAGATGTCATCAGATAGTCTCTCATATAGCATGAGTCAGTCAGATACAAATGGTGGGAGTAACAGCCAAGGGTGGTATACACCGTCTAGTCGGATTACAGGTCAGGGTGGAGTAGGTGCAGGGGGGGACAGTCTCTTCTACCAGAGTTATACATACCATACTCCTGTGGTTAATAGCTCGGGGGATAGAGTCCTTGGGGGACCAAAATATGGACAGACACCTACGCATAGTGACCCCTCTCAGAGGGATACACAAGGATATGGAAAAAGACTTTCAACTGATGGCGAGAAAAAAGCTTTAAACACAAACAATGGAGGTGTGGATAATGGACAAAAAATAATTGTGCCATGTCCGTCCCAGGATGCTAGCGGCAATAGACTAAACCTGAATTTAACCCCAAAAATTAATCCCCCACCTCCTAACTCTAGGAGATCACCCAGGAATTCTCAGGCAAGTTCTGGGTCTAGTGATGAGGGTAACAAAAGAGACAGCTACAACAGCGGACATACAGAAAGTTCTGTTGACATTATGAGGCTCTCCAGCCAATCAAATGGCTCGGCGGTAACCATACAACTTGAGGAACGTAAAAATACAGACGATTGTGAAAAAAGTGCAAATAATTCAACTGAAACTCATGATAGCATTATAAGCGTGAAAAATCTCAGCAAAAGTCCAGGAGATGTATATTCTAAAAGGGATCAGGCAAATTCAGTTCCGCAAAAGTCAAACAATTCTTTAGTTGATAAAATCAAAGTTCCTCTCGCTAGTATATCTGACGAAGAGAACACAGAAGCATCTGATGATTCTGGTGTCCCAACACAGCCAAGAAGACTTGACTCTATGACTTTTGATGAATTTGAAGCTCTTACACCATGAACCACCACATGAACTCATGACACACCCTGAGTTACGTGAATGTTTCCTACATGTACCTTTTACTATTTATTTCTTATAAATAATGCAGTTTGGAAGTGAATACTGGTGGGATAGATGTACATATTTAGCATACCCAGTCTTGATGTTTACATTCAATTCATTTTCTGACAATGTCAGATATCCTTATACAGTGCATTGTGTAAGCAATATGATCCTAGATGTACTCTTTTTAGATAGCTTGGGAGAAATTGTTCTATAGGATAAAATCCCCATCTATATGACCCTAGGTCACTGTATAAACTAGTGAATAGGGGATAATTATCCTCAAGGACGTTTATCCCATCCACTTTGATCTAACTGATCAGACAAACACACATGTTCACATTCATTAAATTAAGGATGTGTCTCATATGGTTAGTTAGGTAGTATGAGTTCTCATATGTTTATGTCATATTTTGTTATTTCAGAGTATAATGATGGTCATATTTGAAATCCATTTTCTGTAATTTTCTATTTGACTTATTGTGTAGTATGCTTTAATCCAAATGATCCGGGGTTGATGAACAAGTATATATGATAATCTTAACCAACAAAACTGATTCAATTTACTTCATGTTTGTTCAATTTTAATTATATGGTCTTAAAATATACCAATGCTACTCATCAACCTGACATTTTGGCTAAACAAAGGTGTAAGGTCAATGATAATCTTTGGTTGAACAGATATGTAATATTTGATCTCATGAAACGGATGAATCTCACCATGGGAAAGTATATAATATTAATATAGTTTTTCTATGTAATGTAAAATTGCATAATGATGGTATAACATGAAAAAAGTCACATCTCATTTTGAAAGAAAAATAGCTATGATAAATTATAAGCATAATGGAGAATCATTGAAACTCCAGGAAAGTGATGGTATATGTTTATCTACATATTTCCCTATAAAATATACAGTTTTGAACTTTTACATTTTATGACTTTGAACAGTATTTAGATATATGTGAATATGTGTGTAAAACATGTGCAATTAGAATGTGTCAGAGGTAATATTTAGTATTTACCTAATGTTAACACACACAAGAGGGATTTCATGGAAACATGCAATTTAAATGGAGCTGTATTTCTTTGAGAAAGAATGAAACAGCCCAAAGATTAATTGTCAGACATTATTTAGAAAATACAAGCTGTTCAATGGACTCCCTCGATATTGTAGATCAATTTAGTTTGGGTAGATACATAAAGGTGGCGTTAAGGTGTACATAGTATGTATTATAAATATAATGTATATAAGAATATATTTATGATAGTTCTTTATGTACATGGTGCAAACAATTTATGAAGTTTCTTTTATTCTATGGTCATCATTTTTTCTGTCAAAGGAAAACTAAAGACATGTACACATATAGTAAAACCTTTCTAATCCGAACACAATTTCACAGGGAGATATGCCGATTACTTAATTAAGTTAATTAGTACAAAATTAGTACTAAGTAATCACTCTGGCAAAAGTGCACCCATGAGTACTTGCCATGAGTGCTAATTTAGTACTAATTCATGATATGAGTACTCATTTAGTGCTAAAAAGTCAATGAAATTACTGCTATTTTATCACTCATCATATGAGTACTAATTTAGTACTAAAACATGCTATAAATCAGTACTCATATCAAAGGTGCTCATTTAGTACTAATATTTACTGAAATGAGTACTCAGTTAGCGCTAAAATGCCATGAGTACTATTTTAGTACTCGGCATATCTCCCTGTGAACTGGGACTGGCCAAAAGTGTTTCTGATTGGCAGGTGTTCACTTAGAGGTGTTTGTAACACTGAAGTCTATGTCAGATTATAAATTGGGACTAAAATAAGTTTTCATATTAAGAGGTGTTCAGATTAGAGAGGTGTTCAGAAATGCAAGTTTTACAGTGCTTGATTATAATTTATTTTATTTTATTTTGTAAAAGACTATATAAAGTTCTATAAAAGTTTATCATATTATCGGGACCGAATTTTAGTATGCAGTTTAAGTTTTCCTTTAAGACAATGATATTCCAATTTAAGAGACCTGTGCATACACATAGTAATTTAGAACAGTAAACTTTTTTACTTGATTATTAATGTATTGACCCTCCATGGTTTGGTCAAAATGATGCTGTAAATATGACATAGTTATTATCAGTTACTGAACAATCAAATCATGTAATTTCCTCTTTTTGCTATGTCTTGATTAAACAGAACAATTGCACATTTTATTGGTCAAACATATACCTGATGTTTTTATTTGAAATTGACCATTGTAATCATTTTCTGGTTAATATGTTAAACTTTATGTGTATGACATTCAAACATAAAACATTTATTCGTTGTTCAAGTGCAATGTTTGATTTTGGTGCATAATTGTTGGGTTGTATTGCTTGTAATTATTTCAATGTTTTCCAGTACCAGTTTTCAATATGTATGATGTTATTATTAAAGAGATTATGTTTCAAATTAATCAAAATGTAATACTAAGAACCTTAGCTCATTCTTAATTGAATTAAAATATCAGAACGCCTAATTATCCCATCGAACGAAGTTCGGAGGGATATAGGGAACGCCTCCGTCCGTCCGTCCGTCCGTCCGTCCGTACGTACGTCCGTCTCTCCGTCCGGGCAATAACTCAAATACCGTTGGCCCGATTTTATTCATATTTTGTACATATATACCCTATGGGGGTAGAAGTTCTGCTCGAAAGCCGATTTTCAAAGTGGCCGATCATTTCAAAATGGCGGCCATTTTAGTGCCGAATTTACAGTAATTTAGGTGCAATATGTAAAACTGTAATAGCAATATGTTTTAGATTTAAAAAAATTATATAGGACATTAATAAAGCTAGAAATGTAGATATTAAAGAAGCACATGGCAGCCATCTTGAAAAATGGGGGTCTTTACTCGTTATTTTACGATTTTTGCTGTAACTCGAAAAGTAGTGGAACGATTTTGTTCATATTTGGTATGTGAATACTATAAACATTGCACACTGTCTAAAGACACTTTAAGAAGAAGGTGGCCATTTTGAAAAATTGAAAAATGGCCGTCATTTTTCAAAATGGCCACCATTTTAATGTATTTTACTATAACTCGAAAAGTAGTGGAGCGATTTTGTTCATATTTGGTATGTGAATACTATAAGCATGACACACTGTCCTATGACACTTTTGGTAGAAGGTGGCCATTTTGAAAAAATTTGAAAAATGGCCGCCATTTTAACGTATTTTACTATAACTCGAAAAGTAGTGAAGCGATTTTGTTCATATTTGGTATGTGAATATTATAAGCATGGCACACTGTCTAATGGAACTTTTGGTAGAAGGTGGCCATTTTGAAAAATGGCCGCCATTTTAACGTATTTTACTATAACTTGAAAAGTAGTGGAGCGATTTTGTTCATATTTGGTATATGAATACTATAAGCATGACACACTGTCCTATGACACTTTTGGTAGAAGGTGGCCATTTTGAAAAATGGCTGCCATTTTTGCTATATCCTTTGTTTGTAAAAATGCCATCCATGGCTGTTCGATGGGATTTGCTACGCTTTGGCGTTGCCGTTGTTCTGGTTCAGACTTGATTTAATTCCAAGGTATTGGAAAACAATTTAATGGACTACAATGGTATATTATGTTGATTCTCTATATCAAAATCAAATGACATCTTTTTTTGTTTAAAAAAGTTAATTGGTCCACCTTGTAACAATAAGAGGAATCGTCTACAAACTTTATTTTAGATTGTGTTCGTTTCAGATTTTATAAGGAGCATGAGTTATTTTTTAATACTTTCTTACATTGGTACATTGATGAGATACAGTGTGTTTGCCTTGGGAAGTTGAGATAATGTTTTGGAAAAAACAAGGAAGAAGGTTGTGTAACAAGTTTAATGAGACCAAAGAGACAATGACTGATTTGCGTATTATTTAATTTAAATTAAGATAAGGTACTTATATTCTGGATTTTTGACATTTCATTTGTATTTACCGAAATAACTAAAATCAATGAACAAGATCAAATAAAATAATTTATTAAGTAAAACATGACTATCAAACATCACCCATATCTCTGCAAAGAATGATGCACTATTTTATTTCTGGGGGACCCACAAGGGACACCCCTACCCCAATGTTTATTGTTTTCAAGTAATTGTAAATCGTAATCAAGGTACATGTACATGTATATGAATTATTTTAAACATTGATTGTGGTTTTAGTATATTTGCATAGTTCTAACACTATAATTTGCTGCAATAATTTCAGATAGGGTGCATATATATGTTGCTATGTTGTGTTCAGTGAGAAATGCAAATAAATGTCAATATTGTTAAATTAATTCATTTCATTTTTGTTTGATTCATGAACATAATTTGCAAAGAACTGTGTTCATATGGAACTGGGAGTTCGAGAACTAGAACATTTGCAACACCATTGCAGAAGTTGCAAATCCAAGTGAAAATATTATGTGTTGTTTTTAAAGGATTTCAAAGTTGCACTCTCACGCCCGGTGATCGTGAATATGGGACGGAGGGGGAGCAGGCAATTTCTGCTAGGAAATTCAACAAATCTGGAAGATTTATTTTTTCAAGAAAAAGTTTACTATTGAATTGCTAAATGGATAGGCGCACGGTATGGTAGAATATGTTAGGTTTTCTGGGATTTTTTCTGAAACGATACGCATCTAAGGTATGAGATCTATTAAAAAAGGTGCAAGGCCATCAACAGGCACAAATCAACGTTTTTGCTATAAATCAAGCAACAATGGTCTGGACGACCTGTAATAAATACTTGTAAGTGATGTTATCATAACTAAATTAATGTCATTGCTGAATTTATAAAATAAGTTTCCATATGTGAAATAAAAAATAATCGAAAATAATGAATTTGGGATGGAGTGGGGGGAGGGGCCGGGGACGGAGGGGAGAGCAATATGTATATAAGACATGATTAGAGATGTTTCGCGACTTTAAGTCCTTTTACTCCAAATGTCCCCATTTTTCAGTCTCCAGGGGTATATCATCCAGCTTCTTACTAAGTTAATGAGTTCATTTTTCAAACACAAGAATTCGTGTGAAGTTGTTTCACTTTATAGAATTATTACTCCCCCCTCCGTCCCCTCCCCCCCTCCGTCCCATTTTAATTATTTTCGATTATTTTTTATTTTACGTATGGAAACTTATTTTATAAATTCAGCAATGACATTAATTTAGTTATGATAACATCACTTACAAGTATTTATTACAGGTCGTGTAGTCCATTGTTGCTTGATTTATAGCAAAAACTTTGACTTTTGCACGTTGGTTGCGCTGCGCCTTTTTTAATAGATCTTATATCTTAAAAGAGTATCGGTTGAAAAATAATCCTAGAATACCTAACATATTTTATCATACCGTGCGCTTATTCAATTTGCAATTCAATCGTAAACTCTGTCTTGAAAAAATAATTTTACCAGATTTGTTGAATTTTCTAGCGGAAATTGCCTGCTCCCCCCCCCCTCCGTCCCATTTTCACGATCACCGGGCGTGACTCTAAAACCTGGTTTATTTTGGCATACCTGATCTTAATCTACCATGATTGATAAACCAGATTGTAATAATGCAACATTGTGCAGTAATGGAAAAGTGACCCTTATTAAGAGAAGCCATCAGTTTATAAATACAGTGATCACTTTATTATCCCATCATTCCAAGAGCTCCGTGAATGTGCATGTTTCTTTAATAACCAGTAAGAGAAAACATTATGTAAAATCTATTATTGTAATGATCAGCTATAGCCAATGGGTGCTAACATGTGTTTCTAAGTGTTAGAAATAACCGAGGATATACAATGCATTGTTTCTAGATTTCTAGTTTAAATCTGCCCTACCAACCTCAGCTCAACCTCAATATGCATACGGCAAACCCATACTCTTTTTACCCACAAATCAGCTTTTACTTCAATCCTTAAACATGCAATTGTGACTCTAAATAAGATAAACATTTATCGTATGGGCCATAAATCATTTAGTCGTGTACGTAGTAAGGTCAATCATGTTAACTTATTTTACGTTGGTAGATTGTAAGTTTACTTTACATAATACGAGTTTCACTACCAGCGCGATGTTTTAACATAATACTGTCGGTAGGGATGGATTTCAGAACGAAAGATGGTATTCCATTTGGAGGAGAATTGAAGACGTCTGCGTATTGCCTGGACCCGAATGTAATCTTCTTAAACCATGGGTCATATGGAGCTGTACCAAAAGACGTACAGGCGGAGCAAACTAGGTGAATTGATTAACAACTTGCAGCTTTAGAAAATATAACAGGCCTTCACATATAATGTCAATTTTGCAATCGCTTCATAGAATTGGTCGAGCTTCAGTACCATTCAACCACTTGCTTCGTACACTTTTAACGTGCAAGGCTTTGCATAACATTTATCAACATTTCGGAATGACTTGTCAATATTTCTATTGCTTACGATGATTCTTGACAGACTTCGTGACGATCTGGAACGTTACCCTGATAAATGGTTCAGAATAACCAATTCTCAATTATGGCGCAACAGCTTGCAGACGATCTGCAGTTTCCTAGGGGCAGAAGTAGAAAATACAGTTTTCGTAGAGAATACTACCACAGGTACGTGAAATAATCGAGCCACTTTAACAAAACTGAATATCACAGAAATCTGACTTGGTGTTTGGTGGAACATTTCGTTCACTATCCATGACCATTGATGAACTTAGCGAAATAACACTAACTAAAGAGTTCATTTTCACAATTCCGATTCAAAAAGAATGTTGAGTTTTATATTTTTCTATAAACTGTGCCGTATCTGTATCATGCATGGCCATGCCACTACTGGCAGAATTATAGTGCTTTTTATATCACCACCACAAGTGGTGACATATTGTTATAATGTGCAGTCGTAAAAGTAATTTCACTTTATTTTAGGTGTGGATTCGGTTGTCAAGTCAATACAGTTCCAACCAGGGGATGCCATCCTAATTAGCAACGTCACTTATAACGCCATGAAGAATATGGGGACATTCAGCACACCAAAAGGTATACCAATCCCCTGGGTGAGATTTTTGGTTTTAGATTTCCATTCGTCCGAGATATTCGGGCCTATTGCATTATGATCAACATTGTCAACTTCTTCCTTTTCCAGTCTAAAGATATTGTGAGTTACAAAATAGAAATATTTGCTGTAATTTTTTATTCAAATCCTTCTGAATGACTCGAGCGCGAATGTTCCATTCATGAACATCACTTTACCTTTTAACTATTTTCATTTTTGTCTTTCGGAATTTAGAAAAAAATTTGTGATACTTATGCCTCCTTCGTACCTCTTGATGAAATAAGGTACTCAAGGAACGATCTATCGATTTTTGAAAAAAGGTGTATGTATGAAGGTGTAGAAGATGAGACAATCCCCAGTATTTCGAAATTATAAACATTTTTTCTTTTAAATAGATGTCACTGTCATCTATGTTGAGCTCCAGCACCCAATTGAAGACAAGGAATATATACTTGAGAAGTACCGCGAGGTGCTTGAGAACCACACAAACATCAGAGCAGCGATTATAGGTAAAGCAAGTTGAAGAAATTAGTCGCCTGAGAGTCTTCTTTCTATAAACGATTCTATGAAGGGGCACATATGTATATAATGTATAAGATAGTTTTGTCCAATCCTGGTGTGAGTATTTGGAATAACACTTTGTGTGGTCCTTACTGGCACCATCCCTTTTGATGTATTCAGCGCTATCATTCAGTAATCTCCGAAGAAAAACTGCATGGGAACTTATGCCAATCTTTTCTTCGAATCATCATATGTGTTTATGGGATAAAATAACCGACATAATATACATATCTTCAGCATTTACTTCCTATGCATTCATTGGGGGAGTTGATAAAATACTCAGTCGACTTAACTGGGATTTATGCAGGCATTAGAATCATTTGAGGGACTTATCAGCCATCTTGAATTTATGTAGGGTCATGTTATTCCTAAATGCCACCTGGACACTTAAAATATTTGATTCATTTAATCTTTTAGACCACATCACAAGTCCAACATCAATTGTTCTACCTGTTGAAGAGCTGGTAAAGATGCTCAAAGAATTCGGAGTTTTATCTATAATAGATGGCGCGCATGCACCTGGTCAGATAGATCTGAGTATAGCAGATATCGGGGCAGACTTTTATGCAGGTAACTTCCGTTTTTCACCCGTATATCAAAATTAATTTGAAAGTTAGATTAACAGAAAAAGGAATCGATTAGTAAAAACGTCGATATGTATTTATAACGTGAACTGAAACTCAAGAGCTCCTCAAAACTGACATGTAGAGTGTACATGTTTATCCCCATCCCCAATCTCCTCAGTTGTTCTTTAGTTAGGCAATTTTGGTATTAATTTGCTCACAATTTTGATCACAATTTGTAGGAAATCTTCATAAATGGTTATTCACGCCCAGAGGGTGTGCAATTCTCTGGATTCACCCAAAACACCAGACGGTCATACGTCCAGGTATTACGTCACACTTTCACGGCCACAAGCTGCATTATGACTTCTGTGTGAGAGGCACTAGGGACAATACCCCCTACCACACAGTTGGAGCTGCCCTAGGGTACCTGGAACGACTCGGGGGCTTGGTGAGTGTATAAATCATTGAACTTTGACAGCAATTAAGGAACTCATCTTCGTTCAGTTGGCTTCCACTTGTCGTTTCGTCTGAACGCAGTGCCGGAAGACCGAGCGTGCGCGTAAATGAACTTGGCAAAAAACTTAAGTATACTGTATGTTTTTAAATGTTCTATATTTTGATGAAAATATAAGATATCAAGTATTCCTGCTTCTTAAATTTTCTTTTGCAGGGCACTGTCCATAATTACACAGAGAGACTATTGGATGAAGGGTGTGCGTACCTCTGCAAGGTTCTTGGTACCGAGACGTACCCTCTTCCCCCCTCTCTTCGTGCACCTTCTATGCGCCTGCTCAGAATACCTCATATAGAGGGGTATTCACGTGATCCAGTAAGTATTCTCTGTTAATAGAAGAAACTGTCATACCATATCAAAATATAATTTTCTCCTGAGCTAAAGTTGCTCCATTAACTAATGTAAAAAGTTATTTTGTGAAGATCAATATTTACACTCCGCTCCATAAGTTTTGCAACCCTATCCCCCCATGGTTAAAGCATCTTTATTTTTGAATTTTTAGTTGCATAACCTGTAAAGAAAAAATTACCTGAAATACAAATTGACATTTAATTTGATGAATGTTTGAAAATCGACATTCCCAATTAACGAATGGGAAATAGGTTTGCCGCAGGACAAGAATATCCATGCATCAATCCAAGTTCTACCAAAAACATGAATTAAGATAAACAGTTAAATTTGCAAACGTTATCTCACAAAAACTGATGTTTCTTCAGGTTAAAAAACGCATAGGCCTTTTTCTAAGAAACCTTCGATCCAATTGGAATTACACAGGAGGCGAAAATGATTTTCAAAAATGACTTTACAGCTCTGTAACGTCAATGTTCACAAAGTAAAACTAAACACTTAGCGTGCCATAAGTAAGACAATCTATTTACTATATAAAATGGTTAATCTTTTACCTGAGACCATCATAAAACTAGTCTCAGCTTTTACTAAATCTGATTTGCACGCACCCGCCATTTCCGTCGGGATACGACGATCTTTAAAAAAGTTAAAGGTTGCCAAACTTATGGAGGGAAGTGTACTTTAAATTACCCTTTAACCATTAAATTGTCTGTTTTAGCAAGGAGCAGGAAGCCTTGAAACGGAACTATCGACCAATTATAACATCCAGACGTGCATGACATTCATCAATGGGTTTACATGGATACGACTCTCGGTACACGTATACAACACCATTGCGGACTTTCACAAGTTAGGAGAGGCTTTGAACAACATAATGACAAGTGGTAAAGCAGACAGGGTGAGGGATGAGGAGTATGGGTGCCCTTTACTGCACTGGGACTTGACACCGTTGACATCAATTGGAAACGAAAAGACAGTTGAAAAACTGAGTTAACAATCTCATTCATATTTCACAATATGGCACGCTTACTAAAATTCATCCTTTGAAATAAAACTTCTATCTACCTTTATCAAGACGAAAAATAAGTATAATAGTTATATATTGTTTGAGTTATGAGCGTTTAAAGACGAAAAATAATTCAAAATGTAACGTGTCAACAGGGGATATTTGCCAGATGTTTTGGTAATAAACTCTTTTTTAAAAAAGAACGCGCAAGAATCGTGAACGGAGTGTAGTTGATCTAGAAACTTCATCAAAACAGCTTTAAAACGTAACGAAGTTTGACACCAATCTTCGAGCAACTTATAAAGACCATATTGCCGCTTCAGAGTTGAAACTTACCACTGGATCTATAACATCTCGTAAATGTGTAAATAAAATACAATTTCATTTACACATGTGATCGCGTATTTTGTATGAAAATAGGCTTTCTAACGTGCGTGACGAGTTTGACACGAAAAACGATAATGCACGCAACTGAGCATAAAAATTATTTTCCATATATACTTCATATAGCATTGAACACAATGAGAGCTCGGTGTATCCTCCTTTCGAAAAAACACTTCATCTGACTTTTTGTAAAAATAATCAGCCTGGAGCTCATGAATAACGTGCGTGATGGTGTTTGACACCATGCATCACGCACGTTAGTTCTAAATTGACATTGTCTTATTTTTCGAGTATGGTAGATTTATTATCTGAAAACGAAATGATTCACATAGATAACCTCTGTAGACTTGTGGCAACACATTTTTCCGCCTCATTTCCAAAAAGAAAGATCCAGGGGATGTATCTCTGATGTATCCCCCAAAATTGCTTAAAAAACTGCAAAAACAGCTGGACACGAAGCCCAAAAAAGTGAATAACTTCAACAAATTTTAACATTTTCACCTGATATTATCCTCAGTATCTTTTTGACCTCTACTGAGTTGAATAAAATAATCGTTTTTGGCTATACTTCTCAAAATGTTGAGATATCGAGCATGTAATATTTGAACTTTTGAGTGACGAACTTTTGAAAAAGACCCATATAACTTTAATTAGAATATTATCTTATAATCCGGGGAATCAAAGTAATATTCACGCGATACCCTTAAAAAATAATGCGCCACCTTTTTGCGACACGTCTATATTTTCAATTTTTATAGCAAACGGCATTGTTGCTACATTTCCTTTACTCTCCACCCCACCGCATAAATGATTTTGGTAAATGGAATTTAATGTTAATTTTGACCATCTTTAAGACATTTGCTGAACATATCAGTACATGGGAACCACATTTAACACCATGGTCCCTTATTTCATCGTTAACAAGTATATGGTATAAAAAGTACTATTCCATAAAAAAAGCATGTGATTGAATTGCTAGAGGCAGCTCTTGAAAAATAATGACAGATTCTGATTTGTCGTCATTTTAAGTATTACCTTAATTCACTCCTTGACCATATAGTCACTATCTGTTACGAGCTAATGGCGTTTGCCGGTTGAGGGAAAAATTGATGGCGAAAAATTCAATGTACGCAGGCATCTAGAATATCACAAAATAGATGACACTAGTACTCGTAATCAAAAGAAACATTCTATGTATTGTACACTTGCGACATCTAATCACACGTTTTGTTGCTGTCTATTATACCTCATGGGATTCATGATGCCACCATATGTGTGGGATTTGTTTGATAGGTTTTATGGTTCAGTGATTGTTGCAACGTTTTTTACTATTGATGTAACATAAGGCCATGGTTTGGTTATTGAGTTGTATTCATTGTTATTTACGTACATTCGTTTTGTTCTTCAATTATTCTACCGCCTCATCTTATATATCACCCTGCACTCGTTTAATGAACGAAATCAAATTATCATTTTATTCTCATTATTCTTAATTTTTATTTAGTAAGGCATTTATTTGACAAGGTTCAGTACGTTTCAGCTTCGATAATTACCAATGTTGGTTTGATTGAAATAACTGATAAATGATACCAGGTAATGGTATGTTTTAATGAGACCCTTTAAAATAGAAGATGTTTTCAAATGTGTTTTATTTTCTTGTGACATTGACATTAAATGTCCCACGACGCTTTCATTGGATGGCTTTGATTGATAGCTTTGCTCACCCAAGTTAACCTAAGTAGGCAAACAACGTGTATATAATATTTCCATATATTTATACACATGAAAACATTTATTTCTCAATTGTACATTGTATTTTTACATCAGCCAAGTTCACATCAGGCAACTGCGGATTAATTATTTAAATCATTGAATAAGTATATATAGAATTCACACATAGCTAGGCAAGGTGTGTCCGTTTCCAGTCTATCCGAACAGAGTATTCACATATAATGAACAGTGCAGCGCGGTCATGCAAAGGTTTGGCAACAACACCTTCATGGAATGATTCAGCAAACAATGCATTGAGTCTTGGGCTTAAATCCTTAAGTATAACATTTCCATCATGTCAAATTGGACTTCTTATTTTAGCACGTTTGATACCATGGCCTATTAACGACATTTAGTTCAGTTTTGGTTTAAAACGTTTATGCGGCTAACAAGTGATTGTGTAATTTTGTCTTACAAATTGTGTCCTTGTCGTCTGTCTTCCCTTGGACAACGTAAGTGAGTTATCGTGATGAGCAAGTAAAGTTTGGTTGGTAGATGGATTGCTTGTTTGGTTGACATAATGGTTGGTTTTGGTAAGGTAATGTGTCACACTTAAGCATCCATATCAACTATATCCCATTGTCTCCCGAAGGAGAAACCCTCTGATTTTGATGCAAACTCTAGTTTAATCTATAACCGGCCTTGTCTCGGTAAGGTCGCCAGCATAGCTGATTCATCACTGTAATTCACACCTTCTCCATCTCTCTCCAAAGGATTGATGCTGTGATGGTGGGTATCATGTAGCTCGTCTTCACGAGTATTCAGTACTATTAGATAGGTTTTGTAGTGGGAGGAGTGACTGTAGCTTTTACACCATTCAAAACACCTATTGTTGTAGGTTTAACTTTTTTAGTGTTATTGTCTATTTATAATACTTATAATTAATATAGAATGTCAGGGACTAGGTTGAAGTCAGTGTTTTTGGGCTCTTTATTAAACAGAATCATTGGACCTATTGAACAAAGAATGGACGCACTGTTGATTAGGAATCCCCTTGCTTAGATGTATGCAAAACTGACTAAATAAAGCGTCTGTTGAAAGCTAGAACGTACCAATTATACCGAAATACAAAGCTATCATATATTGGTAATGATGTCATTCTTACAGTTCCAGGGCAGACCTAGGATCACTTTTCAAGAACTACAATGTTGTTTACAAACATTTCAACCTGCAAAGTTTGACATTATAGATCTAGCCAACATATCATAGTTTATTGGTTCACCAAAAGGGTGCAGGAGTGGTTGCCCTTCTAGAACCTTCTCCCAACACATCTTAAATTAGTCAAATACTTATCGAGATGGATTGCTAGATCTGAACATTTCATTTGGTCCTTTTCTGTCATGGCCACTGTCTCCAATGATTTATAAGGTTATTCGATTAGGTCCAACTCGATGCCACCCCGCCATGTACCCAATCTCCCCCAGCTATTTCGTTGCCTACGGATATATATACAGGGTGGTCCAAAAAATGGGACACCCGTATTTCAAAAATAACCATTGATTTTATAGATGAAAACATGTCCTATTATATACCAGTGGATGGGACATTTAATTATCTTTAATTTGGTATATCATAAGTTCAAATTTATTGCTATATATGTCAACCAGCGTCCATAATACAAATGATGTCATTTTCGTTCCAAAATGGTTTTTCAAAAACTTGCAAAAACCAAGTTTATTATCAACAGAAACAGATGTTCAGTATGTCCTCCATTTTGATCAATTATATCCCTCAATCTTAGCCTAAACTGGTCAATAGTATCATTGATATGCTGTTGAGACAATGAATTTCTCAACAATTCTGTCCTTTAGGGACTGAGTAGATGTTAAGAGTTCATGATACACGCATTGCTGGGTTCTCCCCATACATGGCATATCAATGCTCTTATCAATAAGTTTATGCCAAGATTGAGGGCCATAATTGATCAGAATGGTGGACATATTGAACATCTGTTATGTTGACAAAAAAACTTTTTTCCTGGAATTGCAAGTTTTTGAAAAGGCATTTTGAAACGAAAGTGACGTCATTTGAATTATGGACGCTGGTTGACAGGCATTATCATAACTTTTCAATTATGATATACCAAATTAAAGATAAGTAAATTCCCTATCCACTGGTATATAATATGACATGTTTTAATCAATAATATCTATATTCATTTTTGAAATACGAGTTTTTGGACCACCCTGTAAATATGTAGCCACGCTGCCCCCATTTTAATTAGCGTGTGAACTGGAATATTGTGGGACGAGTTTAAGTTGATATAAATCAGTATGCCAATATACTCTATTCATTCAACATGTTCTTTACATAGTGGGGCAACATTGTACAGTCTTTGACAATAGGGAGCAGTATGACATTTTATTTCTAAAGTTTACAATCTAGTCTACCTAGATCCGGTTCAAAGAAAACAATATCCTTTATACATGATGGCGTTTGAAAGATCTCGATAGCGTGGGTAAGAAGCCATTTGAACGATGCTTCATAGTACCCTAGTCGACGCGTGTGTTAGTATGGCAAAAGTATATCACAGAGTGACATTCCCGGTCTGAAATGATGACTTCTTAAGATTCTTTCACAAGGGTCGCAACTGTCATTTTACCGGTATAACGAGACCATTATGCTTATGATAGACAGGAGCTATCTTTAGCAGCGATGCTAAAATTCAACAGTGTCTCCTTTAATTTCAACTCATGACATTTTCATCTCCAACTTATTTTTCGCATGATCAGATACCGGATTCAAAAAATGAATAGTAATTTGTAATATAACTGTTGGTACTATGGGTAAGATACCAGGGTTCGAAATAAAGCGAACATTGCCAGTTACAGTGACTTTTTAGTCCTGACCATTGCTTTGGAAAACTGGTTGTCCATTGCGTACTGAATTGAATACCAAATATGGTGTAGGCTATTACAAGTGGAAT